TGTGTCTGGCTCACATGTGTCTGGCTCACCTGTGTCTGGCTCACCTGCATCCAGGTTTTGGTCGATGCTCTCCTGAGAGACACAGTGAAGTCGTTGGATGTAGTCGTCGCTGTACCAAACTCTCAGCTTCTCTCCGGCGGCCAGCGTCCGACTCACTCTGAAGAAAATGTTTTTACCGCGTTGAAACGCAGTCAAGTTCCTGTCGCTCTCCTCTGACGAGGTTCGGACGAACCTGCAGGTCACAAACGTCAACGGAGATACTTTAAAAAAGAACCCTCGTTGTGGCATTCGTCTTCTTAAATAGTCAAAGTCAACAACACAACAATTAAAAGACTCTCATAGACTGCTTACTGTGTTTGATGGAGAATAAACAACTTGTTCGCTGTATGTAAATTAAATAAAAAACGTTACCTCATCCAGTTGGCTTTGGTCTCATCGCTGCCATCGATGGACTGATAAGTGTTGTTAAAATCAACGATCTGGAACATCAGAAAAAAACAGAAAACTAGTTCAGAGCTGGACTTGTTTAAATCTGGTTCTCAACTGTGACTGGAACTGGACTAGTCTGGTTCTAAACTGGTCAAGACTGGTTATGAAAAGGTCTAGACTGGTTATAAACTGGACTAGTCTGGTTCTGGACTAGTCTGGTTCTAAACTGGTCAAGACCGGTTCTAAACTGGTCTAAACTGGTCAAGACTGGTTATAAAAAGGTCTAGACTGGTTATAAACTTTTGTAGACTTTTTGTTTAGACTTGCACTAGACAGGTTTAGACTGGTTCTAAACTGGTTGTAAACTGGACTAGACTGATTCCAAACATGTCTAGACTGGCTCTAAAGTGGTCTAGTCTGCTTCTAAACTGTTTGAGACTGGAACAGGTCTAGATTAGTTCATAACTGGTGTCAGACTGTTGAACTTACTATCCAGGAGAAGAAGCCGGAGGATTTGTCCTTGGACACCAGCTGTCCCTCGTAGGGACCAAAGACCGCCCCCCTGGGGATGTTTGAATCCAGACAGCGGACGTCCACGTCGTCCCCCTCAGTGAAGACCTCCAGGCCTGATGGGACCGTGAGCGCCGCCCTGTTGGCCGACCCCGGGGCCGCAGGTGTATCGGGGACGAACAGCGGGGGCCCGTGGGACGGACACTCCTTCTGGAAATAGTCCTGACACTCCTCACAGACTGGAGGACAAAGACCTCATCTTTACAAAGTGGTCATCACGTCAGGAGTTAGTCTTCACACTAACAGCGTTATTAATACACTATTCATTAAAGATACACATATCAAACACTGTTAGGATGAATCATGAAGGAATAAAACTGTAAATCACATTTCCGTCTATAATGACAGTTTGGGATCATTCAGGTAGTAAAGTTTACTAACGACCGTCGATGGTCCAATCACAGCTGAACAACGAGACCGTTTATGGATTATTGATCGTTCTTTGAGGAGAAACTCACACCAGAGGTCCAACGACATCTCGCTCATAGTGGAACCATGACGGGAAACGTGTCAACTCTGCAGAACAAAAGAAGAATTCAGGAGGCAAGCAGCTCTATACACACATATACACACATATACACACATATACACACATATACACACATA